GTGCAAGCCCTTACTGCCAGCTACCTGCTCTTTCATTCCCTCTCCTCCCCTCACGTCCTGCCGCGTTTGCAGCCTGATTCCCAGGCTGGCTGTTCTATATTCAGCACACACATCGCCTGGACCCTCAGTGGCATCTCTATGCTGTGTACCGGCACCCCGCGGCACGCCAGCATCTCGCTGTTATCCCAGCCTCTTCTCATTCTCTCTTCTCCCAGACAGGGAAACAGCAGGCAAAAGGCCCCCAAGCAACACAGTGCTCCAAAGCACAACATTACAGTGTTGCGCTTCCCTTTTCAAACTCCTCTTTTACCGTGCCATTGCTACAAAGTCCCCATGCAGACTGCAATGCCTCCAGCTCCGCAGGCAGGTTTACCTCGGCTGCTGCCAGTGGCAAAGACCTGATCTCCGATTCTCTCTGCAGCATAAAGAAGGATTTCATTAAGCGAATCCAGATATCCTGGGATGAGCAACATATCCAAGGATAAAAGAGAGTCAGTTAAGTCTTCCTGACTCAAATTTTGGCCACACAGCGTTTCCACACCTGGCACTTCTATCAATCAGATTAATTTAAACACATTTAGCCTTATGAAAAAAACAAACAAAAATAAGATGTGAAGATGCTTCATCTCCTTTCCCCCAGCTCAGACAGGCTGCTTTGCACATGCGCTTTACACATCAGTCAAGAAAAGAAATTAAAGTAATATGAAAACGAACAGCAAAGGAACTGAAAGTCCAGGAGTCACCTGCCTCCCCCAGCACAACACCCACTTACAAACCATTCTCCAGCGGTCCTGCCAGCCCTCCCTGGGCCTCCTACTCTATGTGTTCCCAACCCACCCACTTGGTCCTCCCGGTGATAACCAGGGCAACTTGCTTCTGCGTCTCTGCCCCTTCCTGGACTACACAGCACAGCTGCACTCTGCAAAAGGGGTTAGACAAACCCAGGTACAGAGAGAAACAAAGGAGGAAAAGAGAAACAGAATGAGAGACTCATCCACATGCCATGTGTACGACATTTGCTCCCGGTGCGTCTAACATTTCCTTCTGCAAATACGAGGTTGCTCCATCACAGGGAACTTGCTCTGGCTCTATCTGCACTCACCGTACCAGAGCAACACTAAATTCAACCTTCACACAACAGGATCCTGAATTTTTGAGGCCAGGAGCTTCCCAGGAGGAGGTCTGCTTTGTGACCCACAGCACCTCCATGACAGGAAGGCTGGGACAGAACTGCAGGCAACAGTATGCTGTGATTGTCATCAACATTAACTATTTGAGGAGAATATGATCGATCTCAAGAGGGCAATGAATTCGTTTCTCCAGCTGAATGACAAACAAAAGGCAATGTATGCGCTGCTGACATTTCCAAAGGCTACAGGAGAAAAGACCTCTTTGTGTTAAAATCCTGCTACAAAGGGCCAAAAATCTGAGCAGTCTCAAAAATTTTCATTCTGGACCTTTTTTAACAGCAGGAAGCAGGTGCCTTAATATTCTTAAATTTGTTCTGGCCAGACAGACTCTAGTCCTGAGCCAGTTCATCTCCTTGCAGGAAGAGAAGGAGTGATGAACCACTGAGCATCTTTGGAAAGCTGGGTTGAGCTGCTTTCTCACTTTTGACACTTCTTGTCAACAGCTACAGAGTCATTATACCTGGTTGACAAGGAGAAAAAGCTTCTTAGAAAGGGGAAAACACTGCCTTCTGGCGTAGCCACAGCCCGGGGCTATTCAGCAGGGCTGAAATGCCAGGGACACTTGCTGGAGGGTGATGCACCGCTGCTAAGATGCATCTCCTCTATGCGAAGGAAGAGGAGGGCCCAATAGCCCTGGAGAAAGGCATTGCCCCTCTCTGTGGCCTCAGATTAGGGGTGTCTGTGTGTGTGTGCTGCCTACCAAGGAGCCAGAGTTGAGCTGCGGCTCCTTCAAGCCCACACAGCACCTCTAGAGAGAACAATGAAGATGGATAAAGATAAATGCATCGCAGCCTATTTTTGCAGGAGGACAAAGGAAGAGGAAATACAACCCAATCTGCTGGGCTGTCACTCCAGTGGGATATGAATTTTGTCTTTCAGTTATCCCAACACATTAGCCCCAGCTGGCTGAACTATAACTGCCACAGTTTGCTAGAGCAACACAGTTTGGGATGCAGTGGGGTATCTGCACCCATTCAAAGAAAGTGGGCGCCCTACAAGCCCTTCAGAGCTTGCCAACACAATCACATTAGGCAGCAACACAGGCATCCTCCTCCCACTATCCAGTTCCCTTATAAACAAGGGCTGGAAGATGTTTGTGCTTGAAGGGGGAGGGGGAGGCAGCTATTTCTCAAGAAAACAAATCCAATTATTTGTATTAGAGTGAATTTGTATAGCCCTTGCTATCAGAATAAGCATCTTCTGCAAATCCTAGAGCTTTAAATCAATAAGTCATTGCTATATTTATGTGGGTGGAGGACTGGATGTTACTGTGGTGGGACGGAGGTGAGGTGGTTTTACTTTTGGATCTTTGTTGAGTTTTGCTTTTTGCAGGAGGGCTTATCCGGGAAAGAAACAACTAGAAGTTTGGACTGCTGCCTCTGCCATTTACCATGCTCTCCTAAGTCTCTAAGGCTGAAGATTTTTAACCAGTCTGCTAGTAGGGTACCAATATGAGTTTCTGACTGATCTACATGAAACCTACAGAGGCACCACGCAGCAACTGTAGTGCTTGAAAGACTGTAGTGAGTTCCTGATAATCAGGCACCAGACAGCTTCCAGATGACTATCCCCTAAACTGAACACATTAGGAGAGGCTTCTGAAATCTGTGCCTCTGTTTCCCTAGCCACGTTTAGAATAACCTCTTCCCACCTCGCACCAGAGCTGCGTGCCTTAATGTCTCTAAAGTGCTTAGAGATGCTGAGATGAAAGATAACATACGAGTGCGAAGTATAGCTCAATTCCCTGAGCTCAGCAGTCACTGGAGCTGATGGGGATAAATGTACCACGTATCCGCCACTGAAAACGTGGGTTCTGAGCCTGTCCTAAACAGTAACTACTTAAGCAGCAGCTCCCTTCGAAGAAGTCATCTTTGGGTTGGTTGGCTGGGCGAAAGGAGCCCCTGCAGAGAGGAAACACAGAAATGCAATATACCACTATGAAAAATAGATGTTTCTTCCAGAAAAAAGGGCTCTGATCTGCTCTGATAGAATTTGGTGGCGAGATTTCAACTGATTTCAGCAGTAATATGATGGAGCTGTTCAGGTTTATTAACCAGCATGTTAAGAACCCAGCCAAATATAATCTGAAAAGCTATTTTTATCTCTGTTTGTTTTCTAAATGATTAAAAACCCAGTTTAAATATTGCAAGGAAAACTTTAAATCGAGCAAGAGAAGTTTTGGCTTCCTTCCGAGTAGAAGGCAATTCCCCAAAACGCTACTGCAGATCTAACAGATGGGAATTGTTTTTCACTCTCTAAAAATCTAGTTCCATTGCACTGAGATTAACTGTAATTAGCTCGTTATTTACATACAGGACAAAGGTATGATGATAAAGAAAAACAACCACAAGCAGAAATAACAGGCAGAAAAAGGCAGAAAGAGGTAAAAATTCCCTCTGAGAAGAAAATGTCATGTCTTTCTCACCAAGCAACATAATTGTTATAAATATATAGTTAAACACAGTTCCACACCATCCTGTCAGCACTAAGGGTAAACATTTAGGTCACAGTTTTCAAGATTTTACATACAAAATGATTGAATGTATAAGAAAGAATAGTGCCTCCGAATATCATGAAAATATCACGTCCCTATGAGCGGACAGGATCAGGCCTAAGAGAGAAAATGTTTTATTTCGGTAATGCAAGGGATTAAGCAAAACTGCAAAAGAAACATACTGCAGCTTTTCTGTTAAAGAGACAGAGAGGTATTAAAAACTTTTTCCTGCTCTGATAACACCTCAGCTTAGTAAAGCCGAAGAGGCTTCTAAAGTATTTACACGAGTGTGTGATCCATGTTGTCTCTTTGCCTTTCAGTCACACAACAAAACTGTCCAAAGAGTTTCATGTCAAACTAATTATCAGTCTTTTACCATGCTATTTCTAAACTATGACTGAGAATTGTGAGATTAGCCTTCCGCTTTGCAAAAACACTGAGGGGGAAAAGAAATCCTAAATAGCACCCAAAATAAGAAGCTGTTTTGTTCCAGTTTAGCAGCGACCAAATCATGGCCGTACCTTCTGCTGACGGCAGCAGCTCAGAACAAAGCGGTTACAAACTGCGGGGGGAAAGAAACCCGCCGGCACCTCGGCCGCGGAGCTGCAGGCAGACAGACTCCAGAGCTGGTGGGCGGCAGCAGGTCACCCCTGGGCAACTTTGCTCGCCTTCTGCCCCTGTGTTTGGCCCACCTTGCACAGCTGGAGGGGCTGCCTCAGCCAGGCAGCACAGAGGACCCAGCTCCAGGCTCTGTTTACAGAGGCAGCGAAATCCATGAGCTGTGGCAGGAGACAGGCAGGGGAGGAAGGAGGAGAGCGGGCAGTGTCTGAACTGTGAGCTCCACTGTGGAAAGTGTTTCAGTTCCCATATAACATGACACTGTTCACAGATTTCTACTTATATAGGCTTTTCCATACATCTATTTTTATTCCCAAAGTATTCCCTGTCACTGTATGATAAAAAGCAAGACTGGACAGCACAGCTGAAGCTACCAACAGATATCTGAACGCCTTCACATGCTGGTTATAATCTTCCTAGCTGTCCACCTAGCTGTCCACCAGATTGCTACTGCAATCTGTGCCCTGGGAGTCAAGCTAGGACACCTTCTCTCCCACACTGCCAGTTGCTAGGGTCTCCATGGCAAGTTTTTGCAACCCAGAGTCTTGCTAAAATGGGAAGACGTTTGACAGCAGTTTTGTGGAACCTGAGAGAGATGGGGAGGAGGAAAGGAAGTTATCTGCTTGCCAAAACAACCAACATAAAACTCCAGAACATAACAATAAAAGAGAAGAAGGAATAAAAGAACATGTTCTTGCCTCTTAATCTGAAGGAGCGAAGTGCTTTTCCCCTAATGCTGGCATCTGGCACATGCAGGTCTTGTAGGAATAAAGCTGGGACAAGCTTTCTCTCCTTTCTCCTTCCTGTATGAATATTTCAGAGGATAAAATTACAGCACCAGGGCCAGCAAGGAGGCATTCCGCATCCCTCCACTTTTCCAGGCACCATCCGACCTCCCACCACACTGCTGTCCCAACCCCTAAAGTCTCTCTGACCCGTAGTTCTTTCTAGGCACCTGAAGGTCAGGCTACCCTGATGCGTGACCCTGGATACGAGCCTGTTCAAGTCCAGCCTTGTGCAGCACCCACCCACTTTGCACACTAGCAAACGCTCAGATGAAGAATACCTGTGCAGAGCCCCAAAGGTCTGGCCGGTGAGACCCCGGAGCTGTACAGCCCCTCAGCATGGGTGCAAGCTTTCCCTCATGGACTTTGGAGGGACTGGGCATGGGCAGACCCAAGCATGCACAGCTCATCCTATGCAGTATGTCAACGCTTTGAACTCAATCTACGTCCAGAGACAAGGGAAGGAGGTCACAGGGCAGCATGCGTGTAAATCTGCTCTCTGCCTTGCACAGAGGCATTGCTTCAGCAATTTAACCTCTCATCCCATAGCTCCCTGCTTCATCTCCGTGCAGCAGCTCCCACCTTCCCGGTTCCATGTCTCCAGATCGTTTTGATGCCCTGCAAGCTTCCACCACCCCAAGTCCCTCCTCATGGCTTTACTCTCCGAGTCCCCCATTATCCTACCTCCTTATCCTTCCAGGAATGGAGCAAAGGCTCCTACAGAGAAGGTATTCCCACCAGCAGGAACAACTCTATATCTATTTCCAAGTAAGGAGAGCTTCCGAGTCTTAAAGATTAACCTTTTCAGCTTGCCCTTCCCTGCTCACCAGACCCAGGTAGGATACAGAGGCAGAAAAGCAGGACTGCCTCCAGCACTGAGCCCTCTCACCACAGAGCTTTTGGGTTGGAGTGATGCTCTCCCCTTGCAAAGAGGAAAGACATTTCCTGCAAGGTACACAATACAACAAGTAAATCTTCCGGAGCTGCCAAAAGCAACCCGTTATAAATGGCCCTCTACGTTATGAGATAAGGACTCTCTACAACACAGCTAATAAATAATATCCTGTGATCCTCTGTGTATGGAAGTGTAAGTTCAGTGACAGTTCTGCTTACCCAAGAGGGACCAGAGTTAAAATCAGAATGTCATAAAAATACTATTTTTTTAATTAAATTGCAAATATTTTGTAAAACAGATAAGGAGCTCGCTGCAATCTCCCAAGTTCAGAACTAAAAAGCCCTTCCTAGGACAACAACACTAAAAACATGGAACAAAGGCCATCTTTTAATAAGAAAAGAAGATCTGTAAAAGAAAACAGAATTTTACCCAAGCATTATTGCCAGCTATTCACAATGCTAGGATGGAAAGAGAGTGTGCATGTGAGAGTGGATTTATAATCTGGTTTGCAATAACATCCTAGGGCCCTGAGATCAGGATCCCATTGTGCTAGGCACTGTACAAACACACAGAGAAACCCACCTAGGCTGACGAACAGGCACAGCCACGGTAACCAAGGGAAGTGACACTGGTACAGAAAAGGGTCACCTGAAGAACTGGGGCCCTGATGGTCTATTTCTTCCCCTTCCTTTTCAGGAAAGCATTCCCACCAGCCTGTCTCCATCCAGACACCCCCACAAAGTGCTTGGCGTAAGGGGGCAACTGATCCCAACAAACACACAGCAAAAAGCATCCTGCTGCCAGCATCTAATCACTGTCAGACTGTTTTCTCAGATGTGCCTTTTCCACTTCATTTTGCTGCTGCAGCTTAAATCTGACCCCCTTCCTCTCCCCCTTTCATTTCAAAGATCCATTTGACAGCAGAAGGGGACAGGTATCACAGGCTCACACATTTGAAATGCAGCTGAAAATTAAAGTTGCATTCATCAGCGCCGGTAGCAGTCTAGCTAGGGAGGAACATACCCAAATCTCCCTGGTCCAAAGGAGGGAATTTAAGCAAACCGCTCTGCATTTGATGTAACGGAGCTGCAGGAGCGGCTGAGCTACGCACTCGCGGTCCTGCAGCTTGGCTCCGAGGCGCGTTCAGAGCCCGCGCGTCCTCCGCCGGGGGACGACGGTGCCTAGCGGAGAAGCCCCCCCGGCTAACGCGGCCTCTGCCTCGCCTCCCCCGCCCCTGCACCCCGCCGGGCCGCCCCGCGGACGGGGGCAGCCCCCG